CGACGAGAGTCCTAACCACTGTGCCACCGACGCACAACTAGTGTCTCCATAATTCTAGACACTACAGGTGTGATATTGATAAGCCTGTAGTTGTTGACTTCTGTTTTCGAGCCGCATTTGTGTTTAGGCATAAATAATAATATATCCTCATTTTTGTCCCTCATGTACAAAAATGAGAATATATTATTATAATAAATCTCATTTTCCATATATTCGGGTGAGTTTAGGTTTCAAAGGTCATTGTAAAGATTTTAAGTAGTAGTAAAGAAATATCAGGAACACCATATTTATAAAAGTAGGATGATATGCCGTCACTGCCGAAACCTTTCGAGCTTTTGAGAGTTCTAGTAGTTTGGTTAATGTTAGCATAAATGAATTCAATGGTACTAATTTGTTTTAGTGTGCGCGGAGATGGATGTTGTGCCATATTAGTAGTAGGGTGTATAACGAGTAACTGAGGTGAGGGCTGAAGGTAGTTACCTGCAAAAGTTTTGTTGAATAATTCGCACATGTCTGCAGAATTAGTGCATTGCCTACCTTTGTCTATGAGGAGAGAAATGCTGTGATTTTTGCGGTTCATTCGCTTCTTTAAGATTTCTGTGAGAGCACACACTCTAGCAGGACTGGCTATTGAGGTGCGTTCTTCGTTTCTCATACGCAGAGCTCGAGCTTGTGAGATTGGTCTAAGAGCGCTAAGTATTAAAACTAGTGTCCTGAGGTCGTGGTGTTTTAAGTAACTTGTCGAAGGTCTCTTCACTCTCGTGCTATCCCTCGGTTTTATAAATGACTTTCTGTGTAGGGAAACTTTTAGTGTTTGGAGTGGAATGGCAGTATCTAAGCATGCGTCTGAGTTCTGGTAGATGCTCACAGCTGTCGAGAAGTCATCAGTAGTGAAGTATTCAACTCATTCGGAGGATCTTAGCATTGATTCTACGAGAGCCCAGTTTGCCGTACCATAGTTCCTACATATTATTTGTTGTGAAGTGGAGATATGAGCTGCATTGCTACTCAGTGGAAGTGGCAGAGCACACATCCCTGTTTTGTGATCACTACCTGAAAACTCGGAACCCACTAAGATTAAGAGGGGGCTTATATCGTGACAGAATGTTAAGTCTAGTATACTGTCACCTCTTGTATGGATAGTGACAGTTTGTTTCCAACCAAGTATGTCCAGTGTACTACAGAGCTTGTCATACTTAGCTGGGCCTGTTAATAAATCCCAGTTGATTTCGGAAAGGCTGAAGTCTCTACACACGATCGTGTGCTCGTGTGGAAGAGTCAATACTTGCTCCAGTGCATTTATAAGTTGTGTCTCGTAATCGCTAAAGGTCTCAGGTGCTCTGTAGATATATCCTATTAGTAGTGAAGCACTTTTGAAGTGTACGTTGACCCATAGGGTGTCGTGCATGTCACTGAGTTCCCTATTTTCTAGCTGTAATACAGTAAGTGTGTTCAGGAAGTACATTAAGCAGTCTCCTCCCTTACCACTGTTCCTGTCACATTGAAGGTGTGTGTACCAACCAATGCTTGTCTTTTCGTCTGGTACATTGCAGTGACACCAAGATTCACTTACAATCTCGAAACTGATCTATCTCGATTCCTACTGTAGTTTCAACTTCCTTGTTAGCTTTTCCTTAAGTAGCGAACTGGACAAAAAACTTTGAAATTACTTAAGACTCACTTTATTGAGAACCACAACCAAAGATTTTGGTAAAACCAAATTCCCTTTCAGGGGTTTGCCCTTTTGTATTCCAGCATAAGGATAGCTAGAAGTGAACTTCGGTTTCAGTTTTCCTGAAATAATTTCAGGTGAAAACATGCGGAAAATATCACAAAATAACAGAGAGGTATTCTTTAATCGTCCAAAACAAATTCCAGAACCTGTATGCTAGACAAGACCAAATTAAAAAGTTGATTCTCGGCCAAACCAATTTGAAGAACTTTGTGTTACAGGCACTGTACGATTAACCTTTGAGAAGACGGACTTGCAGTCTTCGACCAAAACCGAAACAAAACAGAACTTGTTCCAAATAAACTTGACCGAGTTCAAAACAAAACCGAATGGTTCCAAGCAGTATTTATTCATAAGAGAATGTTCAGGAGCTACGAGATTATTTTCTATTAAGCGAAATGCATCGGATCAGCATGATACAAACCTTCAAATATGAGGCGTCCAAACACCACGAACACAATAGCTGAATCCATAAACGACTCACAATTAACGAAAGTGTGAATTCGAATAAAAATGGGCGAGTTTTATGAGCCAAAAACTGTCTAACTGAAACAAAATTCAAAATGGTATATAAAGTACAACTATAGTGTTTAAAGTTTCGATATTAGGCGTGATAGCGACCATTGCATCCTGTAGTTATGAGACTCTACAGTGATATACAGGACGGAGCGAACCGGAGAAGTGCTGCAAAGGAAAGTTTTCCGGCGCGAACCTCGTGTAATTCATTATTATTTCGGAAATATATCCACCGGGTTTCATTGGAGTTCTTCTTTTTGAAGACTATTCAATTTACCAACTTTACTGTTGTTGATGAGGGTGAGGGGAGAGGTTCATGTGAGGGAATGTGCTAACGCGCAGTCAGTCCTGAGCGTACCCTAAGTAGCATGCGGCCAGAGACTCTTTATCTAAAATTCTGAACTTCTTTTTGATGACAAACAACAGCCTTGAGGAAAAAGTAAGTTACTACCATTGGTTGTTAACCAGCTGTTTTAGGAATGGACCGATCGAAGCGTCCAAAGCGCCAACTGAGCTACACAGAGATGTTATTGGACCATGACGAATTATTGGATTGGCGTCTGCGAGAGTTTTTTAGCCGTAGCAAAAGCGTTTTTGAAGTATTTTTAAAGATTTGTGCACTTCACATTTTCGCGCAGCATAGCTATCAGTGGTTGCACCAAAGCAATGTGTGGCAACAGCTTATCAAGACATTAAAAATCAGAGTTTTAACGGCCTCTGAATCCAGAAAGTCTGAAACGTCCTCTGCATTATTGAAAATTTCGCATATAACTCTGTGACTAATGGTATTCCAAAGGGAGTGAGTGATCTTTGTAGTGCTTGGTCCCTTTGGTAGGTAATAACGACACCTTACATACAGTCTATTGTAAACAAAGTTTCATTAACTTGACTTGGAATAAGAAAGACGCCTAAGAGAGCATACACATAGTGTAGGCCACAGAGTAGAGAGCTGAAATGTTTGTGCTATATTCTAAATACTAAATTGCATGTGTTCTAATTCGAAAAATACTGAAGGTGGAGTGAAAGCTGCTTCCGCCAAGCTTTTTGGTGCCATCGGAATTGGGTTTGATACTTCGAGCATATTGGCTTTCGAAAAACTGCTTGCATTGGACAGCGTAGTCATGTGGAAGTGGGCAGCACTCTGGAATGGTTATATCGTTTAGGAGCTGATAATCGCCGTTGTGCCACCAGTCATTGATGTGCTTCTTGGGCGATATGTGGGGCGCAGATGTCAATGAACATTAGGCGAGAGTAAAATAGAAAGAGCAAGCATGTGATATAGTTGCAGCTCAATTATTTTCGGGTTATCTGGGCTCATTCGTCTAGCCTTCAAAATCATAGGTAGTCCTGATTTAGAGATGTGAACTATAGCATTGCTTGTCCTGAGTGACTATTAGTTTTTTGAATGACCGAGTTGTCGTTGTCCCTCTGAGGTTGTCTAGGGCGTTCGATCACCTATGACTTCAATTTTTTATCAGGGATGGGTTCTGACATTTGACATGCGGTTTTGTGACAGCACCTATCAGTCATCAGCAGGCTGCTGGCAGTAGGCGTAGTCGCCAACCATGTCTATGCCTATGGTAGGCATGATGACGTCAGTAAACAACTAACTGTGCTGATCAGACCCATGCAAAGTCACGTTTAGAAAAACACCTTCCGAAAGTTGCTACAGGTTTTGTGGAAGCATATTTGGCGCCAAACTATCATCTTTGTGAAATTTACGGAAAAGTTTATCGGTGCTTCGTTCATCTTCGGGATTACTGCCTTCATAAGGCCATGCAAACTGCCTACTTCATGGGTGAATATGAGTGATATGACGTATTCGTTTCACTCCTGCTACAAAGGACGTATGGCTACCAGGAACTGTGACACCACACTCTTGAAAGTAGGCTTCACTTGGCTGGGACTAGTCCTCTGCATCATCTGACCGAATTTAGATTAGCTAAATCGGCATCCTTCACAGTCTTATACCTATATATTTCAAGGTATGGTCGCACATGGTAATCGCGGCTCAAGAATAGAGATGATACACAAGATAAACGCATACTATGGAAGTTAGTCACAGGCTTGCCCCTTCAGCGTGTTACACCAACAGATAATGTTCCCATAATACTCGTAGATTATCTTCCAACCTCAAATGTACTCATTTGATATTGACCAGTAAACAGTCAGTGAACTAAATCACGGTAACAATCAGGTTGTTGAGAAAAGAAAATGTTGCTGTTTAGCGAGGATACGTGCCTTGTTAACCAGAGATAGTTCGCGAAGAATTGAACACGAGGTGACGGTATACCACATGACATTTTTTATTTTATTTTTATCAAAACTTTATTCCACGGAGTATTTTGGTACAACTATGGAATCTTCAGCTTGTGACATGGGTGCATGACCACCTGCCTGAAGCCTAGTCAGTCCACTTAAACATTGAAGGTCAGAACCTGGTGTTGAGTAGTAGTGCTAAAGTTGTGTTATTCATTTCATGAGGCTTTTTACCTTTACAACTAACATACGAAAAGTACTCGTACGTCATACGTTAATACTCGCAAATTGCAAACCGACTATTCGGTTTTTGCTTGCTTGAGAAGACTTTGATATTTCAAAACCTTATAATGACGAAATTCCAAAACATTTGAAACTGTCAGGTGGAGTTCTGTAACCCAGGCTTTCAACTGTTGATGTTTTCTGTTTTAGTTACCATGTTCAATTTCCCTCGTTTCTAGTGCCCGTTGACCCCAAAATAAATTTTCCGACTAATTAACTGGTAAAGTTTTCGGAATTTTTCATTTTATTTGAATTATTTCTGCCAGGGAATTTTTTCCTCAAATTGGTACACTGTACATTGTTTATGGTAATGACTGCGCAACAGTAGGACGGTGTTAATTAGTCAAACAATAAATCCGCATACGTCCTTCAACTTATTCGTCTCTGGGGTTGTAGCTCCACAGCTGATCGTCGTGCTTCGGTCGCTGCACCTTGAGGTGTGGATTTAGGAGAACCCGAGTAAATATTTGAAATGCAAAAAGAAGTGAACGAGAAAACAGTAGTTTTCGAAATAACACTGCCTGATGGTGAAGGCTGCCATGAATGTTCCTATCTGGAGCTTTTTCAGCAACACCTGGTACGACATCATGTCATGCGTTTTGTGGCTGTCTGTCAACTATACTCTGTTGTATTCTGTTATTCTCGTATTTAAAGCATCCAATTTTAGTTACTGTTATCTCCTTAGTAGGAATATTTGGGATTCTCACTTGTTCCTCGTGGCTGTGCCATTCGCTCATTGGTCCGCACCTGACCTTGAGCGTAGGTGTGATAGTAATAGGATGATGAATCTTTCTGATTTTAGCGTTAACTAGACTAAATATATTTCTGTTTTAAACTTTTCAGGAATCAGCTAACAATGAAAAACATCAGGATGATCCTTTTGCATCCGAAAATGCCACCGAAGAAAAGAAACTCTCAGAACTTGCTAAAGCACTCGAAAAGAAATATGTAAAGTGTAAAATATTGTTACTCCTAATTATTCTAGGGAACTATGGTAACTGTGAAAAATAATGGGAAGCAGAAACGAGTTCGTATAGATGATTTCTTAAACCCAGGAGATGGATACGATACACAAGATTCGTTCATTGACGATTCGGAAGCCGTATGTTTCTAATGACTTCTTTTTTCTAGTTAGAGATGTAGATTGATGTTTTTGTTGCTCCAAATATCTCAACTAAATTTGGTGGATATTTTGTACATCAAGGGACTGTTGAAGGACTTGAAGATACAAGTGTGAAAATCGAAGCACCTTGGAATGCAAGGATATTGGTTTGTATGAGTGAAATTCTTTTCATTATCTGATAGGCAAACAATAGTTCAACACATAATGCTATAAGGAAAAAGAATAAATCCAAGTAGGTAGCATAATTTGGTTATTGTTTCCTTAGAGAACTCTTGGACAAAGCTGTCAAACGCTTGTCAACGCCTAGTGCTTTCAAACCAAAGCTGTTCTCTTCCGAGTCTCGAAATCAGATGCGTAATCTTGACTCTGTATTTGATGAAGTCTTATCCTCACCGAATACACCGAAGGAGAATAATGCCAAAGATGTAAACAACTGTCAGAATTCAAATGAAAAGTGTGATAATGCCCCTGTATCCGTTCCTGTAAATTTGACTTCTGACGTTGAAAAACTCAAACCTCTCCCAAAGAATTTACCAGCCGAGATAGTGGCATGTCTAAACAATCTTACAGAGGTAAGTCACTTTTCCTCTTTGCTTTGTATTATAATGAAAAACTAATATGACCATGTAATGATATCGTTTCTTGAGTGTGTGATGTTGCTTTTGACCATTGTGATTCTTTTAGTAGTATAGGGAGCCTGTCTTCGATGGGACTAGATGTTATTTTTTGGTGGTTTGTTACATCCCATGATTGTAGTAATGATTACCTAACTTTCTTGATACATAATAGAGTAACGATGTGAAATTGTCAATGTTTTGGTGCAAGGGGTGCCGTAAAGGAACATAGGTGTCTGAGACTCTTAAGAGATGGTCAGCTTTATCGATTTCTGCCTTTACATCTTTTTTCACATCCTGCTTAACTTTTAATTCACTTTGTTTCTGTTAATCTGGATATTATACTCTAGCTTAGGTATTATTGGCTTACTTTGTTGTGTTACTAGTGGTCTTCTTTTTCGTACTGATTAGAGTTTTCAAAAGTAGTTTTTATTATCCTTCATATTTTAGGCAGCAGTACAATGCAGTGCGACCCAAGCGTGCGTTTCTGCACTATATAGTGATTTACTAATTGTAGGAGGGGGTTAGTGATATCTCTACTAAAGTCTAAGTGGATGATACATCATTCAAATGGATGACTTAGTAGTTAGAAATTGCGTACTTAATACTATGAACTGTTTCTTGTTATTACATCCTTAAAGATGTCGCTAAGTTACTCGACTCAAACAGCCCTTTTTATATTATATACACTTAGCGGTTAACCAATCCTATTGTATTAGGGCTACGCAAACTTCAGTACTTAGAACAGGGTTCAAATCAATGGTCAACATTTCATTAACGGGATATCTGTTTTCGACTTCTTCGATGAGGCATGCGTGGAATAGTGGTTAAATTCGGACTATTCAGATTCAGTTGATAAGGATAGAAGGCTCTTGTGGTCTGTGTTAATCCTTGCAAAATATATTTCTGCAGAGATCTAACTTCTCTTTGAAAGCGTTCACCGATGGTGCTGTTACTACAGAATCAGGTAAGGAGTTCCAGTCGTTGACCCCTATGTGAGAGAATCTAAATTCTGCACGTATTTTAATCGTCCTCGGTTTGAGCACCTTTTTGCGGTGACCCCGTAAATGTATCCTAGAAGGGGAGAAAAGTTTAGAAAGGTCAGTTCTAAATCACCCTTAAGTATACGGTATGCTAAAATTAAGTCACCTCTCTTCCTTCGGTATGATAACGGAAAGAGATTTAAATGCTCCATCCTCTTATCATAAGGAAGGTGTGAGATACCACTAACTAATTTCGTTCCTACTCTCTGTACTCTTTCCAGGATATGTGCCTCCTTTTTGAAGCATGGACCCGCCGCTTGTACGCAGTATTCTAGATTAGGCCTGGCATATGTTGTGTAGAGTATTTGGAACATGCCCTCATCTAATCGTTTGAAAGCCCTTCGGAGTGCCCATAGCATTCGAAAAGCCTTAGCTGCGGCTGCATTGCAATTTGCAGTTGTTTTCAAATCATTGCTGACAATGATTCCTAGGTCCTTCTGTTCGTTAACATCAGGTAGTTCTGTGTCCCCTAGGGAGTACGACGTATAAGACTTCTGACCTAAGTGCATTACCGCGCTTTTCCTAGAATTCATTTCCAAACTCCACAGGTTCGACCACTCAGCTAATTTATCTAGATCAGTTTGTAGGGCCGACCTATCCTCGTTATTATTTACAGTTTTCCTTATCTTAATGTCGTCTGCAAATAACAATGAAGATGAAGTAAGAATCCCCGGTAGCTCATTAACGTATAATAGTAATAGCAAGGGGCCTAATACAGTTCCATGAGGCACTCCACTGGATACTGCTTTCCACCCTGATAGTACACCGTTAACTCTAACCTTCTACCTTCTATCCATCAGGTAATCCCTAAACCACTCATATAGGCATTGTTCTAGTCCGAAACCTTTTACTAAGTTTACTAAGGAGACCTAAGTGGGATACTTTGTCGAATGCCTTGCTAAGATCAATAAAAACCACGTCCAACACAAGGTTTTTATCTCTGGCCTCGACCCAATCTTCCCTAGCTAACAGTAAGTTTGTTAAGCAGGATCGTCCTGGTCGGAATCCATGCTGTTCAATTGCCAGTAAGCCATGTGTTTCAACATAAGCTAATAGCTGATCCCTTATAATAGTTTCCATTACCTTTACTATAATGCATGTCAGACTTACCGGCCTGTAGTTAGATACCAAATGCCTGTCCCCCTCTTTGAATATAGGGCTTATAATGGCATCCTTCCAGTCCCTGGGTAGCTTAGCCTGGGTCAGTGACATTTGCAAAATCTCCGCAAGCGGAATATATATTATATCCGCCAAGGAAATTAACAGTTTAGGGTGAAGTCCATCAGACCCAGGTGATTTACCTGGCTTCAGTTTAGACAGTAGTTTGAGGACTTTTGTGTGCTCTACCACAATTGAGGGCATCTGAGTGGCGATGGCAGTGACCTCACCATATCCCTGGGTGATACTGTCAGACGAGAAGACGTCACAGAAGTATTCAGAGAGGTTTTCAGCCTTTCCTTCGTCTGACTCAGCCGTTTCTCCACTAATGCTTATGAGTGGCGGTATACCATTGCTAGTTTTAGTCCTACGTTTAATATACGAGAAGAGCCTTTTTGGGTAGTGAACACTATCTAGTACAAGCCATATCTCATATTCTATACGACTCTTGTTAATCGCATACTTACAGAGATTTCGAATTTTGCGGTAGTCTTTCTGGAAACTTTCCCTTCCCGTCATAATAAACTGATACACTAAGAGACATTCGAAACATCGCAACGCAATCGTATTCGCCCTTACCTTATCATAAAATGCCAATTGTTATTCTCGGTGTACTTTACCATGTTTTAACAGTTACAACAAGCATACTATTGTCTTAAGTTTCAGTGAAGTTTCTGATAGTTTCCTATTTGTATTTGCAAACTTCTGTAAAACCAACTTCATCACTAAAAGTCATAGTCTTCCAAAATAATTTAATAACCCCATTGCATCCTAAGTGGGACGTAGGGCTCCAAAAGCATATCTCCACTTCATCCTGTTCTCGCCAGTCCTTCATTAGCTAGCTCCACAATTACCCATAAGCTGTCACCTCCTCCACTCCAACCTCGGACACCAAAATTGTTTTTTCCCATTGGGGTTCCACTCTAGGTCCAGGCGCGCATAATGTCACTCAATTGTCTCCTCAGTGTGTGTCCGAACCATCTCCAATTCCTTCCGTGTATTTGTTGTGCAGTAGATTCTTGGTTTATTTGCTGCCAGAGTTCCTTGCTCCAAATCCGTTTTGGCCATTTGATCTTCAGTATGGAGCGAATTTTCCCAAAGTTATTGGTCGAAATCCACTTGTTGTTTCCAAACGTAATTTTATATTGTGTTTTTGAGGTGTTAAAACTTGCTGTTCCCTTAGGTTATAGAATCACTTTAGATGTTTACAGTTGTCTGTGCGTATCCTTGCTCACTTTTTAGTAACACACAGGATATGTGACTTGTTTTTATGGGCATGTGACGTTCAACTAGTGGGATGGGTTAACACGCAACTACACCTGCCTTATGAGCAGTTGGTTGTTGCAGTGGAACCGCAATTTGTGATTGGTTATTACTGAATGTGTGTAAATACTGTATGTGTCATAAGTGGAAAAAAGCATTTTAAGCCCTAATATTTCTCAGTTTAATACATTGGGCTACCTGATAGAGTTTTACGAAGTACACCTGATAGGCTACATATTCAGTATCTTGCATTGCATTTCTATTCAGTTTAAATAACTTGTTTTAAAATTTTTAGCTGAATAAATGTGGAGCTCAACAACGTCGTACTATGGGAAAACCTTTTGATATGGAGTTGTTAAAGTGAGTTTTCATTGTCATTCTTTGCCATCCAGTTTCATTTTTTTACCATTCTCCCTAGTTCGATAGTATTTAGAAGCAGGAATAAAATGTAAAGCATAGAGTATTATTATTTCTCATTATTAAAACAAACTTGGCGCATTATGGACAGCAAAAGATGTACCACCCAAAATCTCACCGTTTGTAAGAGGACTGCGGTACATACTGCCCGAACATCCAGACCGAAGCAGGTGGCTGTCTTAGGGGGAGGGGCGTCCCAGGGCCTTTGACTTGAGGTCTAATTCACAAGGTAGTGCAGTGGAGAAGTGTCAGCAGCTGCATTGGCTGGTGGTTACCGGAACAGGTTCCTACGCCTTTCAATTTCTTCGGATTCTGGAGCCCATGTACACCATAGGCTTGGAATCTGGATTTTCCAGCTCCCTACATGCCCACCCACCAGTCCGGTTGCAGGCGCTAGACATAATCTCATTTACCCTTACTGTTTTGTGAGTAACACCCCTACCGTGTGAAGACAGAGGTCTTAGTTTTTCGTTTGCACCTACACAAAATATTTTGGGGTTTGTTTGCGGAAAAATATTGCATTTCCCCAGAAGTTCCATAATAATTTTTACTTGAGCAGATTGATTCAATATAAGAATGTGAAGGAGTTCTGCTCTTTTTTTCAGAAATGCGTTTTGATCTATATTTCCCCCCTTTATTCAGAGGTCTATCACTTAGAGTAGTTTCATAGAAACCTTAAAGTCGCTTTATTTCACAGATGTGTATCGTTCTTAATATTATTGAACAATGGCTTGCTTTTTTCAGTCTGATTCCCAAATACATGGTAGCTATTGAAACTACCAAAGAAAGAAGACCTAAGTCAATGCAAGAACTGGCGCGGAATTATGCTCCTGTCCATCCCAAGCAAAATACTAAGCCGCAGCATCCTGGAGAGAATCGAACATGCCCTGGATGAAAAACTTCGACCGGAACAGGCTGGATTCAGGAGAAACAAGTCATGCATTGATCAGATCGCCACATTACGGATCATCATTGAACAAAGCCTGGAATGGCAGTCACCTCTCTATCTCAACTTCATCGACTTTTAAAAGGCCTTCAGTAGTACAGCGTCGATCGAGAGGTGATTTGGAAACTACGGGGTGCCACCGACAATTATACATCTCATCCAACAGCTGTACGACAATGCTGCATGCCAAGTAATCCACAACAGGAAACTTACGGAACCCTTCGAAGTGAGGACAGGAGTAAGACAAGCTGGCTGCCTACTATCGCCAATGATTTTCCTGATTGTGGTAGACTGGATAAAGCGACAGAAACACAGTGGGCAATGAGGAAACAGTCACAAAATGGACCCACACAAAAAACTTGGAGGATCTGGACTTCGCCGATGATATTTGTTCGACAAACCACAAACTGGAAGATATGAAAGCGAAAAGCAACAAGTTGGCGGAAGAAGCATCCAAGATAGGACTTCAGGTGAACATAGAGAAAACAGAGGTGATGAAGATTCCCGGGCAACACCACCACCAGCAACAACAACAACAACAGACAACAATCAGCATAAATGGGAGGAACCTGAAAGAAACAACCTCTTTTACCTACCTGGGAAGCATCGTTTCAACTACAGGCGGAACTGATGAGGATATCAAAGCAAGAATCGGAAAAGCAAGACAGGCTTTCACTACTCTCAAGTCTGTGTGGAGGTCAACAACACTCAGCATCAAAAATAAGATCCGGATTTTCAACTCCAATGTGAAGTCAGTGCTACTCAATATACGGATCAGAGATTTGCACTGCGCGTCATAAAGAGCATCTTAAGCAAACTACAGACCTTCATTTACAGCTGTCTTCGTTCAATACTCAAGATAAGATAGCCAGAAAAGACCAGCAACAGGGATCTTTGGGAGCGAACCAACCAGGAACCGATTGTGAAACAAATAGGCAGGAAGAAATGGAGATGGATTGGCTGGCCATACTCTGAGGAAACAATGCATCAAGTGACATCACTAGACAAGCCATTGCTCGAGTGGAACCCGAAAGGGAAGCGGCGAGTTGGTCGTCAGTGCAAGGGTGACTTGGAGGAGGTCATGTGAAGAGGAGATGAAAACGTGTGGGCAGACTTGGAGCCAGGTGAAGACTCTAGCAAAGAACCGAACGCAATGGAGACGTTTGGCTGAAGCCCTATGTTCCTGTAGGAATTAAAGGATAAAATAATAATAACAAATTGAAGAAGAAGATAGTAATTAAAATGTTCAGCCATAAAGAACGTAGCGCGAAACTCTGCTTAGTACAAACATTCTTTGATTGATAGCCGAGTCCTACATCTACGCTAAAGCCAGTTGATCAAAGCTGTTAGTTACCACACAAGCCGTTTGCATTCCTGTTGAGATTTCATCAGCGAAATTAGTCCATTAGAACTGGTGCAACTTCTCAGATAGTTGACGTGGTTAACACGCTCAACCATTTCGCTCGATTTAGACCAGTCCTACAGCCTCATCCAACATTTGACAGGAGTGAGTCACGCACCCAATATACCAAAATTTCTGCTCAAGATGTCCAAACTACATTTTATTGGTGTCTTCATGCAGAAGGACAATACCATTTGCATACTCAAAATCAAAGATATTATGTCCTGGTAACAGGTCATTCCCTAAGTAACATCCATGGATGTACTTATAACGAAACTAAACAAAAATGGAGACGTTGGGCATCTCTAACGGACACTACAGGTTGCCTTCACTCTGGGCGACAACTGCACGAGTTTGTAGTGCACCTTGAATGTTTTAATGCACCCATATAATAGTTCTTACATGGTTGCATAGGTTAGTGCAATAAACTTTCTGGATACTCCACGGCCAGGTATCACCATAGCACTTCTCAGTCTATGGAGACAAATATCGCACTCAAGTCAAGACATATGGCAGATGCTGGATACTGGAAAATATTCTTGTTCCAGAATCTCATGAAGAGTGAAGATATAATCAACACACTCGTGTTGGGGTCTGAAGCGTGTCTGGTTTACACCGTTTGTTTCTCCCCAGCATCACTTTGTTTAGACCTAGAATTTTAACCAAGCTAATCCCTATATGAATATCACAGAGGTACCTGTCATCCTTCATATAAACTGGGATAATCAATGATTCAAACCACTCCAGCAGGGCAGTCTTGGATTCTCATATATTTTCTTTCCCTTTACGTTCCCAGTGGAACATAGGACTACAAGCTAGAGCTTTGGGATTTCGGTAGCAGCGGTGTTTTCATTTTTACGGGATTGGGTTGCTAGCCTCATGCTCAACCTTCCCTTTTTACCAGTCTAACTACTGACTCAGCGAGGAAAAGGAGTGCGTCAGCCGGGGATCGATCCTCAGACCACATGGGTGGTCGACGAGCACTCTACCGCTGTGTCACCGACGCACACTTATCATATATTACTTAATGTATTAATTCCGCCAATAGTTTATCACTACCATACTTTAGCACTTGGAGTCTTGCCGTCAGGTCCCGCTGCTTTGCTTCATTTTAGATTAAAGACAGCCTTTGCTGTCTCAATTACAGGCGGAGGAAGGACCCATGTTTTGGTTGCTGGGTAAATTGCTCCTAAAAGTGTTCCTCGAAATGTTGCATTTGCGTATTACGCGTTTGCCAGCGATCGTTTCGCCTATTATTTTTTTACAACCCGTTTCCCTAAAAGGTTTAATTAGTTGTCACATGTTACCTACCGTCGGTACCTTTTTTATCGCTTTATCCTATGTCGCCCAACAAATAACGGTTGTTGTGGAGACTATTAGACAGTTTGTATTTGAGCAGCTTTCTTTTCTCATCAGCGCTCAGAGTCCTTCGGAATCAGTCATCTTGCGTCTATCAGTTCAAATAAAGCAACAGAAATTCACTAGGATTTACTAACACGGAGTTTCAAGTTATCAACAGACGTTACTACTATTTCTACAACTGACTAGACACTATATCAAGCTCCTCAGGATGAGTCATGTTAATCTCAAATACTCGTGTAGACATTATTTTTATTCCTTCCAAGTTCACTTGGACTAGACGAAGAGTCTCCTGACACCCGTAGGGTAAAATTTTAAGACTCACCATCTCGATGAGTAACCACTTGGGTTATGTGTGTGGGTCTCCGCAACACATTATACCTCCACAGCTCAAGATGCCGGAAATCTTGCCAATGAGACCTGTTGTCCGGTTTGAAAACTAGTTCTGATGTCGAGCGCTCCAGTATGAAGTTAGCAGAGTGATTCCAGGAGACTATTAACCGTGTTTCTCCGGTTATGGTCTCTGTTCATGGTTTTAGAGTTAAAAAAAGGCGGATAGCCTACCTATGGAATAGTATTAATAATGAAAGACAAGAAAATGAAGATGGATGAAGATTGGCAGGGCCTTGTGTGCTTATGTCGGCAGTTATTACTTCCGGGATGTCTACATCACAGCAGTTGCCATACCTGGAACAGATAAAGCAATAGTGTTGCATGACAGCAGAGACCAGGGTACAATAACCTGAGACCGGTCACACACTGCCAATCTAAATTGATATTTAGGGTTTCTGTCCGTATGAGGGTCCTACCTCAGCAAGGTAAGTTGGGATGTACAATTTTCGGGGTCAACCTTTGCTAACCGCCTTTTCGTCTTTGAAGCAGAGAGGCAGCTTTCTCGTCATCTAAGGGAAAAACCTTACTGTTGTTAAATCCCTATTTGCCAGCAGCACAACTTTGCCTCCAGATCCGCAACTTAGTTTGGTCGACTTACATTAGGATGGTAACTGCTTTTAGTCTAACCGATATCCAAACAGCCTTTCTGGCATGGTAAGATTTGCAGAAACATTCATTTGGGCCAGTGTATCTCGTTGGGTGATTGGGATATGCAAGCACTGACTACTAAATCTAGGTACCGGATACCGGGGAGAGGGGATTAAGATCTGTTGATCCACTGCTACTCCATGGTGACATTAACGGCGTATACTCTAACATCTAACCCGCTAATCATTGTAGTAGTGATAAGCGAGCTACGTTCGTACTTCTAGGTACATCAACAAAGGAAATCTTTACTGCGTTAATTAAGTTGCGACAAACATCTGTTCTACATGCCAAACTCTTTGTTATTCTGTGTAATATGTTAAACTTGTTTGCCTATCTATCTATCTACCTATCTATCTATCATATTTTAGGTTGGATACAAAATTAAAAGAATTAATGTTGAATCAGTCTGTCAGATCAGAGGTCTTCCACTACTTGGAAAGTCATTTACAATTGAAGCATAAAGCTGTAATGCGTAGACTCAAAAAGTTAAGAGAAGACAAACAAGAAGAAAGAATGAATCCATTGTTAGACTCACTTGGAGAAGGTAGGTAATTAAACTGATTAAATTCATGGTTAGTTAGTTTTACATAGGTTGTTTATTTTCTAAATAATAAAAATAAACTGTGTTCCACTCACCTTCAAACTCTTGAAACTGTGGCGTGTTATTGTCATTAGTATTCCTTTGGGTTCCAAGTGGAACATGAGGATTCAACAACACGCCTCCATTTCGTCCTGTTCTCTGCAGTCCTTTTCAGCTGGTCCCACGATTGCTCATAGTGTCTCGTCTCCTCCTCACATGATCTCTTCTCTATCACCTTTGAACCGACGCCCAACTAGTCGTTTTCACCTTGGGTCCCACTTGAGCGACGGCGTGGCGTGAGATGTCACCCAACAGTCTCCTTAGAGTATTTCCATCCATCCGTCTCCATTTTCTTTGGAGTATTCGTGGATCAATCGGTTCTCGATTCGTTCGTTCCCATAGTTTCTTGTTGATAATTCTTTCTGCCTCGCCATCTGCTCTTCAGTATGAAGCCAGCGAAAGCGTTTGTTGATAAAAGTATGCAGCGGGTTGTTGGAAATGCTTTTTGTGACGCTTTCTCTCCAAGTTTCTCACCCCATATAGAATAACTGACTGAATTGACTTTGGTGCTGAAAATTTGAATTTTATTGTTTATGCTGCGGAATGAAGACGACTTCCAAATTGATTTTAGATTGATCAAGATGTGCTTTTGTCTTTCCTATCTTGGCTGATTTTGACATCCTCATCCGTATCGAGTGCCTATAGTTGAGACGATGCCTCCTAAATAAATGAAGGAAGTGACCTCTTTTGTGAAGTTCCTCCCCTCTGATAGTGATTGGTACTTGTTGTTGTTGTTGCTGTTGATAGATTGATTATCTTCATCACCTCCATCTTCTCTATGTTCACTTGAAGTCCTATCTTTGTAGCTCCTTCTTCTCCCAATGGTTTTTGCCTGTAAGTCTTCTAATTTCTGTGACATTAGACATAAATTTTTCTCGAAGTCCTGGTCTTCTTATCGGTGGTCCAACGTATTCCTGTCTTCTCGCTCCCCACGCACGTTGTTCCGCATAATCCAGTTCAGGAAGTGAAGTGGTAGAGCACGCTGACCGCTTCACTTACTTGGGAAGTACCATCAGCCCCAACGGGTTGATCTCTGACGAAATCTCAGCATGGATACAGAGGGCTAGTTTCGTATATTCCAGTTTACGCCGTCTCTGGCGTAGACGCGATATCCGACTATCTACCAAAGGGCGTGTGTACTGCTCAACAGTCCGCTCCGTCCTCCTTTATGGCTGTGAGACCTGGCCATTGAGAGTGGAAGACATGAAAAGATTAGCTGTCTTCGATCACAGGTGTCTGCGTTCTATCTCCCGTGTGAAGGGGTATAATAAGGTGAGCAATAATTAGGTTAGGCGTCGAGGTGGGGAAATCAGTCGACGAGACTGTGAAATTACATCGACTGAGATGGTTAGGACATGTGTTACGTATGCCTAGTCATCGCCTTCCTCGACGGGCAATGTTAGCTGATATAGGGTCAGGCTGGAAAAGAGCTAGTTAGTGGTGGTCAAACGAAAACATGGCACCAGTCAATGAAATCTGCAACAGTTAGTCTAAGCCGGTCACGTAGGAAGGTGTAGACTTCCTGGTTGGGGTCCTCCGGACGGTAAAAACCAATGAAGGCTGGAGACAATTGGTGATATGGCTCAAAATCGTTCTCCGTAGCGCGGATGCATCCACTTCTTGTGACTTATGATTTCCAATGAAACTATATTGTTCTCCGTTACTACTATTCCTTTGTCTCACACCTCTGTTTACTGTCTCTACTTTCGCATTTCTCCTGCTTTCTTCTCTTGCTTTGTGTGCTACATGGAGTGTGGCGACTTGAACTGCCGCACATATGTGCAAAGTTCTATGTCGAAAACCGACCGACCGATCGGAATATCAGTGGTACATATTGCAAATACTTAATGTGTAATCATTGAGGAAGTCACAGCTTGCCAGATGGTAACATTTTCGGAATAAATCAAGCTCTATGCTTGAATATCTTATCGCATTTATTTTATTGTGGATTGTAAATGAGAATACAGAATGAAACAAGAGGCAGTGTAATTATACGGACACCTGGAAGTAGATAAAGGAAAAAAGATGAGGTGGTGACACAGAAAATAAGCCAGTGCAGAGATGAACAACGAAAGGAGAAGCACTGTGAATAAAGAAGTGAATAAGAGTACTGGGGAATGCCAAACGACAGTTCTACGATACACTACACTGGAAACTGAAGCAGCATAGGCTGCAGGTAAGAGGGACTTCAGATCACTGTATACCAGATAACCAGATCAACACCGAAGAAGCCAGTAAAAGAAAATAACGGAAATCCAACTGACAAAGAGATGCAACAGTGGAAACTTCATAGGACTTCAGTGAATCGATCAACGCATGCAGCTCGCTCAGAAACGCCACCACCAACCCCGCTGACAAAATCAGATGTCTTGAAAGCCATTAAGTTACTGGGAAAGCAGCAATACCAGATGAAATCTCCACAGAAGTACTAAGAACCGAACCTAGAGATCGCAGTGAGCATACGCGCCACTACGGTCGGTAGGCGTGGGAGAGAATAGTATCTGCGAGGAGGAAACACACACACTGAGTGAAAAGAGTGTAAAGTTTCACATAACACGGTGGTATATTCAAGTAAATAGTCTCAGGTTTTGTTTTTCACTCACCTTTGGTGGTTTCTAGATCTCGATCACGTTGAACAGAACAAGGGGACAATCGATATCAAGATTAGGTGTTATTATTGTTAGTGTTCCATTGGGTTCCTAACGGAACATAGGGCTTCAACTGCACATCTCCACTTGCTTCTGTCTTCTGTTGTACTTTTCACCTGCATCCATGTTAGACCATACTATTTCAACTCCTCTTCACACGATCTCCTCCATGTCACCCTTGGACGTCCCTCTCGCCGCTTCCTTTTCGGGTTCCATTCGAGCACTGGCCTGACGCGCGATGTCACCCAGCGGCCTCCTCCTCAGCGAGTGTCCAATCCATCTCCACTTTCTCCTGCATATTTGTTGAGCGATTGGTTCTTGTTTCGTTTGTTCCCATAGTTTCTTGTTGGTTCTTGTTCTTTCCGGCCATCTGATCTTCAGTATAGAACGAAGACAATTGTTGATAAAGGTTTGCAACCTGTTGCAAAAATATTCTTTGTGACCCGCCACGTTTCTGATCCGTATAGAAGAACTGACTTGACGTTTGTATTAAAATTCCGAATTTTGTTGTTGTTACTGCGTGACGAAGATTTCCAGATTGGTTTCAGTTTGATGAATGTGTTTCTCGCCTTCCCAATTCTCGATTTGACATCCTCGTCGTCTGTTCCTCCTGTAGTTGAGACAATGCTCCCTAGATAAGTGAATGAAGTAACCTCTTTCAAATCCCTCCCGTTGATGGTGTTTGGCGCTTGATGTTGCTGTTGTTGTTGTTGGTTGGTTATTTTCATAACCTCTGTCTTGTCTATGTTCACCTGGAGTCCTGTCTTTTCTGCTTCTTCGACCAGTTTATCGGTTTTCGCTTGTAAGTCTCCGATTTTGTGTGACATCAAACATAAATCATCCACGCGCGAAATCCAGGTCTTCTAGGTTCTTCACGTCGGTCCAGGATATCCCTATCTTCTCGTTTCCCACTGTCTGACGCATAATCCAGTGCACCACAATTAGGAATATCATTGGTGATAATAAGCACCCTTGTCTGACTCCTGTGTTTACTCCGTAAGCCTCGCTGAGTTTTCCGTTGTGGATCACTTGACATGTGCCGTTGTCGTACACCTGAGATTAGGTGTACTGTTTTTAAATATAAGTAGAAGTATGTCAATGAATAAAGGTTGTTGTGACATGCTATGCATACTGAGCTACTGTACAGAGGGAGAGGGAGAGTTAAATGTTTGATAACAGACAGACTTTCACTATATTATTGTATTGTTCTTCTTCTGTTTCTTTCTTCCTAGCTATTTCATCGTCTATGCCTCCAATTATTGAAAGTTATACAAGAGATAAAGAGGTTCACTTAGAACGTATTAAAGCTTGGCAAACAGAGTAAGTTATTATTATTATTATTATTCATTTTTTAGTCTTTGATTATCTCAGTCAAGACAAGATTGATGAATACAGTAGGAAAATTTAAGCGCCTACTTCATATTTCCCTCTTGAGACATAGAGAAAAAGAGCGAGAGAGAGCCAAAGAGAGAAACCTTATTGCATTTCGTGCTGAATCATACCAGTTTTGGTGATAAAAACGTTCACTATCAGTTGTCAAAACTTGGAAAATACTGAGTAATATCGAGGTGGTAGGTAACTCAGCTATCCAAAATAGGTATTGCATGCTGGCTGACTGTTTTCAACAAAGAACTTTGCATAGAAGTGCAACAGTTCGAGTTCCATGTAGCACACAAAAGAAACTCGAAAGAGCGATAATAGGCAGAAATGTGTGAGAGAGAAAGAATAGTTACATGGAAAATAGACAATATGCTTTTATTGGATGAGTTAAAAAACTAGATGACGTAATATAATTGGCTAAGATGTTACAACTTAGGTCAGGATAGCAACAGAGGTAATTACAGGTAGAGATTAAGTAGAAGTGAAATTGAGTGAATAAGTTGGATGACGTAACATGAATGACTAGAAACTGAGCGTTGTTCAAGTCAGTAACAGTGGTAGTGAGGTGTAGAAATTAAATCGGGTGGGGGTAGAGAACAAGAAAGTTGAAAATGTAAAATATTACAATTGAGAAGACAAAATAATACTAATGAAGAGACAGAAGAAAAGATTAGGTAGAATTTACATGTCGGCTAATAAGATAGATTAAGTCCATTGCAAGTGTAGTGATTGAACGAACTTCTTCTGTATGCAGAGTTCAGGACTTAGCAAGTGAATCGCCATTGCTTCTGCAGTTTGAAGAAGTCTGATTCGTACACCTTTAGGGAGACTACTTCTTACTCTGTAGACGACTTTGAAGTTTGTTTGCGGTGTAGCCTGGTGTCCGGATTCTATCAGATGTTCTAAGATGGAACTGCGGGGGCATCGATTTTCTCCTTTGTAAAACCATGCTGGTAAGTGCTCGGTGATACGTTTGGAAAGCGAGCGCTGGGTACGGCCGAAATACCTGGCTCCACACGAGCAGGTGAATTGATAAATGCACATTGATGAGGCCAGCAGCGGTAGCTTATCCTTCACGTTCACATGAATCATAGGTTTTGTGGAGAAGGTTAGTCGTAGTCCAGCTGCGAAGAAGGTCTTCTTAAGTGAGCGCGACAGTCGATTTTTTAGTGTTTCCGCAGATAAATCTCCATTGAATTGGAGGTTCGTGTAGAGTAGTTTTTTCTTTACGCTAAGTATGGGCGGCTTTTCTGGTCTAGGATTCATAGATTTTGCAATAAATCTTTCTGGATAGCAATTCTCGATGAGGATTCTCTTGAGGTTGTCCAGTTCATCTTCTATGGTGTCCGGGGTGCAAATTCTGCGAACTCTGTAGCTGAGTGAACGGATCAGTCCTACTTTAGTTGCTGTCTGAATCACTTTGTCTCTATGCTACATCATTCTTGTATTAACTAATCAATTTTATTGGATATGACAAATCATAAAGAATGAATGCCTCTGAGCCATTCAGAACGATTTCGAACCATATCACCATTTGTCTGCAGCTATTGGTTCTTACCATTCCAAGAACCCCACACAGTCAGGAAGTCCACACTGCTCCTTATTTGGCTTGCTCAAGCTAACTATGATGGATTTTATTGACTGATGAAACCATGTTTTGGTTTGACCACCACCCGTTAGCTCTTTTCCAACCTGATCCATCCTATGTCAGTCAGCTAACATTGCCCGTTGTCGAGGAATTCTACGGCTAGACGTGCATAGCACAATGCGTGTCCTAGCCATTTCAGTCGATGTAGCTTCACAACCTCATCGATTGATTTTCACTCCTTACTTAACACTCAACGCCTAACCTCATTATAACTCACCCTATCATACCACTTGTGCATCGGTGGCACAGCGGTAGAATGCTCGTCGACCACCGATGTGGTCTGGGGATCGATCCCCGGCCAACGCACTCCTTTACCTCTCTAAGCCAGTGTTTGAGAGCTGTCTACTAGCCAAATTGGTAGACAGTAATTTACGTCAATATTTACGTTCCCAAGATTTGTCGTGAGAAAATGTGAACAAAGATTGATTCAAAACCCACCACAGCAGACTTTGCGTAGGTGGATGCAGTTAACATATAGAGGATTTGACATTCAAGAAACAGTCACAAATAGATGAAAGATTAACTTTACGTGAGAAACAACCAATCGGAAGACTGTGTTTGTTTACTTGAATATCCATAGTAATGTACATGAAAATATATAAATATGCGTTGATTTCCTTAATGAAGGATCTGTTGCCTGACTCTTGCCTTCTGTCGTTACACCAGTAATACGACTGGTTTAGAGGGAACGTTGGGCATGAGACTAGCAACCACATCTCTTAAAAATGAAAACACCACTGCTACCTAAATTTCAAAGCGCTAGCTTGTAGCCCTATGTTCCACTCGGAACATATCACCATCTGATATGGGTGATAGGACGTAGACACTTCTGATCAAAGACAGCTAACGTTTTCATGTCATCCACTTCCAGTGACTATGTCTCACTCACAGCCATAAAGGAGGACGAAGCAAAATGCTGAGCAGTACACGCATCCCTTGTTTGAAAGCCAACTACGATATCACATCAATGTAAGAGATGATGTATGCTGAAAAATGGCAAACGAGCCTTCTGTGTATCTCTGTTGATATTTAGTCAGAGACCAGTCAATTAGGAGTGATGCAACTATCCAAATAACTAAAGTGGTCAACATGCTTTACCAGTTGACTTTGCTATTTTAAGGCCAGGGAGTTGATACACTCCAGCCTTGTAGCATCATCTTACATTTGACAGCAGGAGCAAATCTCATACCAAACATTTGAAATTTCTGTTGCTCCTCAAGGTATTCAGAAGACCTTGTCTGCATTTTGTCAGTATCTTCACCCAGGAGGGAGGATTATTTCATCGGAATGTTCTAAGTCAACAAGACTATTCCATTATGGGTAAAATTTATTTTGACTAAGTCTCACAGTGTTGAATTTACTAATGACCACGTTTTGAGCACAATTTATTACTGCTCATGATTGTATCAAGGTAATTACACAACTTTCTAACTTCGTTTATATAATTCCATTATTTTCCATCACTTGATTTGATTGGTAGTAGTATTTTCCATATTTCGGGTATTAGTGATGATTCATTCCTATTGCATGTGTTGGGTGTAGATTCGATGAACAAGGATTCAGTAATCAATCTGTCTCTCTCTCCACCTACCTATATTACTTTTTAGAATGCTAACTCTCTCCCACCCTATTGTGTGGTTGTGTTTTAATGCATGAAGTGCGGTTGCTGAGCTTTTTTCTAAATCGCTTATCTTCTCGGGGTCAACCATTTTTACCTTAGCTGAATTCTTATGTTCTGACAATCTGACTACCCCTGACCTACTAGTTTGACCTATGTAGTTGACCTCGCTCACAGTCATTGCAGGTTATTTTGTAAATTATATTATTTGGGTCAACCGACAGGGTCGTTTAACCTACAGAGCTTATCCGACCTGAGTGAGTTTGTATGTTTAAATGCCTTATTAAGAATCCTAAAGTGGCTAAAGTAAGAATGGTTGACCCCAAAATGATAAGTAATTTATGAAAAAGTTCAGCAATCGCACTACATGCATTAACACAAAGCACACAATAGGGTGGGGGAGAGTTAGAATTCTAAAAAGTAATATAGGTAGGCGGAGAGAGAGAGAAGTTGATTAATGAATCCTGCCTGGATCATCGAGTCTGCACCTAACACATGCAATAGGATGCAATGACTCATCACTCATACCGGAAATATGCAAAATACTACTACTAGCGTAACGACAGAAGGCAAGAGTCAGACAACAGATCATTTATTAAGGAAATCAACGCATATTTATATATTTGCATGTACATTACTATGGTTATTTAAGCAAACAAACAGTCTTCCGATTGGTTGTTTCTGACGTAAAGTTAATCTTTCATCTATTTGTGACTGTTTCTTGAATGTCAAATCATCTATATGTTAACTGCATCCGCCTAGGCAAAGTCTGCTTTGGTCGGTTTTGAATCAATCTTTGTTCACATTTTCTCACGACAAATCTTGGGAACGTAAATATTGACGTAAATTACTGCCTACCAATTTGGCTAGTAGACAGCTCTCACCACACTAGTACCGATCAAGTCAAGCAATGAATTGAAATGATGGAATTATTTTGATTGGACACTAGTAACTAGTGTGACGTATCTAGTCCTTCTTTGGTGCTGACTGAATTCTATCAGTCAGGTATTTGCAATGTGGCCACCATTCTAGGTAGCTCGCCATCACGGTGCACATTGATTTGATATTATATAGTTGGAGGCAATCGGCAGGATGCCTTGGTCCTAGGTTTCGTGCTAGCTGGCACTCATCAGCAAAACCCAGTGGTAACGTCTCTGACTGCAGCACTGAGTGACGCGGGTTCGAATCTCAGAAGGGACATTAGTTCCTTCAAGATTGCAGATAGGCCTTGCTGATGAGTGCCAACTAGCACGAAACCTAGGTTCAAGGCTTCCTGCCGATTGCCTCCAACTATATAATAATGGAATTATATTAAACGAAGTTAGAAAGTTGTGTAATTACCTTGATACGATCATGAGCAGTAACAAATTGTGCTCGAAACGTCATCAGTGAATGTTATTGTATAACACTGTGAGACATAATCAAAATAAATTTTACCCATAAATGGCATTATACTCTACCACAGTGCACAAGTTTTATTCTTGTATCAGCAACATGACTATTCCGTGGTAACAAATTAATCCCCAAGTCCCTGAAGTCAGTTAGGGTTAGTTCCATTCATACACCAGTGATGAAATTTAACAGAAATGAGGATAGTGGGCGTACCTAACAGACACCACTGGTTGTCATCACTTCAGAAGACAGCGATGTTGCATGCACAAATCCGGGGTCATC